GAGCCTGCTGGATGCAGGGTGAAGCCATTTTGTCTTTTCTGGCCTCCATGGGGGAGGGCCAAGAATGAATCCGAATTCTGTATATCTGTGGTTTTCATCTGTGTAGCTACACTTATCCCTCAGAATTTCTCCACTCAAAATTCAGTTTTATTCATTCAAATTTAAATAATAAACATGTGCAGGAATTTAAGGAGAGGCACACATAGCCAAGTCAAATACACAGTGATGGGGCTTTACAACTCTCAGAAGTGAGAACTTTTATTCCTTAAAAACCCTAATAACACAGCGGGTTTGAAAATCACCATGACATTATCCCTTATCCTTCTCTTTCTCTCCAAATAATTCCTTCTCCAATTCCTGTTTCTCTCACTAAGTTGTTGAGGACATTAACTAAATCGAGGTGGACAGCAGAGCGCATGCCTATCTACTCCTCATTTCTATTTAGCTTTTCTTTCATAAATTTGGGTTTCATGTCTCTCTTTTTGTGGGAGAACTTCTGGTGTTTCTCAGATTTTTTGGAGGGGGTGGGGCGCTGGAGAATGGCAACAGCAGCTGGTGTTAGTGTTGAGAAAGTGGTACTGAGAAAAAAGTCTGTGTCTGGGTACATGTTACTCTCTGTGCATGTTTGCATTTACAGGAAACTTCTGGAAACAAGATGCCTGAGTGCAGAGAAGCTGAGAGCTGAGGATGAAGATTTAAGGTGGGTGTGTGAGGGAGTATTTTGTGGGCTGTTGGGGACTTTCTTCAAATCACATCACACAATAGAGACAAGCCTCTGCCTCTCCCCTTCAGGAAAGAGTGATCTGGAGTTGGGACCTAGGAGTGACACTCACCATGGAGAAGTGTGGGAGGTGTGATTCCATTTGTCTCACACACACACATACACACACACACACACACACACACACTCCCTAGTCTCCAAGTGGGTTGTAGCTGGATTTGGGGTTAGTCTATGTGTGGCCCCAGGTGCACAGACTTGAAAGAAGCTGGACCTGGGCCATGTTGCGGGTGGGACTGGCAGGTAGCAAACACAGGGTGGGGCCTCCCTTCCCTCAGTGGAATCCTGATTCTCAGGACTTCAGATCTGAGAGGCACCTTGGAAACCCAGGGAATATAAGCCTTTCGTTTCACAGATGAAGTCACTGAGGACCCAGAGGACTCCACCCTCTTTCTGGGCTTGTCAGAGGCACTTAAGAAATACATGTTGACTTGACATGACCTGCTGTGAAATAGGCGTGACAAAACTCCCCACATGGCAGCTGGATTAGGCTGCCAGCAGCTGGGAATGATTCTACCTCTGTTGGTTAAGCCCAAATGGTGTGGGAGTAGCAGAGGTGCACTCTGGGAAGTTTGGATGGTACAACCTGAGTGGAGGTTCAAAGTCTCCTTTCACAAATAAACTGAGTTTAACAGAATGTCAGAGCTTATGTGTCATGAAGATCAACTCAAATAAGGATACACATGAGTAAATATGAGTAAACTGAGGTGCAGAGAGGGGAAATAATTTGGCTGGTGAATTGCAGGAAGACATGGGCCTTGAACCCTGCACTCTGGCTGCTGATTGAGGGCCTCCCTGCTGTGGCACAGGGCCTCTGTCAGCATGTAGCAAATTTGAGATTGACTGAATTGTTTGGATTTGGAGAATTGTGAGATGTAATGAGCAAGGCGTGGTGAGGCCTGACCTGGATTTCTCCTATGCCGCCATTTTGTGACTTAAGATGGAGAGAGACTTAGTTTCTTAGCAGTGAAATGGAGTCATATAAATTAAACTAGCAATGAACTGTCTGCTGAAGGTGTGAACAAGGCCGATAAATCCCTGGGAGCTTAGGAAACATCTGCTCTTTACCTTGAAGGCAGAAACTTTACCACAAAGCAGAAAAAACCAGGCCTGGAATCTTGAACTCTTTCTGAAGGGATAGAGATGGGGCCCAACCTTCAGATAAGCTCCATAGCTTTTGTGAACCAATGGTGAACGTCTCCTTTTTGCTATTTTAGAGTAGAATTTTTCCACTTCACCTTGCCTATCTCAGTTCTTCAGCGACCTTGTGCTCTTTTCATGCAAGCATGGAAGGGAATCTTGACCAGGTCGAGCCGCTTTCTGTGGACCCCAGAATGGTTGGGTAAATTTGAGGGGAGGGAATGATGAGAAGGCTGCCCAGCAGAACAGGAATCAGGAATTGGAGGAGATTGTCATATTCAGGTCAGAATCCCTGGGCAGAGGCCAGGGTCTGAAGAAGGGTGTGGGGCCCTGGTAACAGGGAAGGGGCAAATAGCAGCCCAGAATTGAGGACAGGACACCAAGAGATCAGAATTGAGTTGCTAATCTAGTAGAGAAATCTTGGAATCAGAGAAGTTTGAGGAAGCACCCTCTTTTAGACCAAACTTGTGAAATGCTGATTTCCAGCAAGATGAAATGGTCTAAAATACAAGGATGGCAAATAGGTGACATCTTATGTGCTAGTCTGACTGCATGGTGGTGACCACTTGAAGTGTATTGAGGAGGCTAGTTTGTGTGTCCCCGACTAGTTTGACAGATGCTATGTCCATTAATGATGTTTGCTATGGGCAGGTCAAAGACCAGATATGTGAGGCCACATATTTTCCCGTTAATTGATGGACACTTCTAATATTTCCATCCTACCTAGCCCTGGTTTGCAGCTTATACCTAGTGCCCTGTCCACCCATAATCTTTCAGTGTTATGAACAGGTGTCATGGGACTCCTTGAAGATGAGCAACATCTTTTAATTTTCTCCCTGGGGTGAGGAGTCTAACATTTGTCCTCTTTATATACTATTAACTTAATTATACTATTAGTTTTAATTAATTAATTAGTTTAATTAGCATTGCATGTCTAAAATCTTTTTCTTTGTTAAACATTTCTCTCTTGAGGTCTAGCAGTATAGTCAATTTTATTATTATTATTTTTTTTGCAGAGAAGAACTGGGGTGTAGACCAGAGGTGTGGGGGATGAGAGGATTCACCAGAGACAGAGTGGGGAGCAGAACAGGTGGACTTACTGAAATATACTGCTAAGGGGAGCAGCGGTTGAGACAGGAGAGGTCTGCCACACCATAGGTGGGTCAGCTTCCTGGCTGGCCTCAAAGTCAGGCTGTAGTGGTGATAGCACTGAACCTTAATCCCTAGGCCACCAGGGAGGCCCTGCATGTCTAAAATCTTTTAGATAGAAAATAAAAGGGAGCTTTAATATGGAGAGGCTGTGCTTAAATATTAACCACCATCTTTGTCCACATGGCCCTGGGACTCATCCCTCACATTCTTTCAGGGGAGTGTGAGCAGCCTGGCAATCTCGGGGATGTGATCGTGAGGAAGCAAGATGGTCCATGCCATACTTCAGGCTCTGCCCTGGGATAAACTCTTCCTTTTCCAGAATGATTAGGAGTGGATCCTTGATGTACACTTGGTAGGTGAAATCAACTATTCTAAGCACAACAGATTGTCATGGGGTAAGTATGGTCCAGCCCCTGTCCGCCAGGGGCATCTTCTCTAGGGGCTCATGTTGGGAGGACCCATAGCAGGAATCTTTAGTTAATAATAACTAGGGTAGCTGGTGAGAAGGGCCAGCACAGTGGACTACTTACTAGTTCTTTTGATAGCGGTCATATGGGTATAGTTGTGTTTGGTTGGAGTGGGTGTGGGAGCAGGGAGGGTAAAATCCATCGCGCCTTCCATTTCATCTGCACGCCTGAGACTGATCGAGTTGCATCTTTGAACTTTTTGGTATTTCTCCAGGGGTAGATGTCAAAACCTATCCCCTCATCTAGGAAACAGTGTGTGAGATAAACACCTGGGATCAGACCTGGGTGTTTCTCTAACTGCATCATTGTAAGAGTTCGGTGAATTACTTGATCTCTTTGAAATTCAGTTTCTTCTTTTTTTTAAGTCTGTAAGGTGAGGTAATAATGCCGGTTTTACCATCTAATGGGATTAAAACATATTAATAGATATGAAAAGTGGTTTATAAATTATAAAACCTTGGAAAAATGCAAGGGTTTATTATGACATTAAACATGAATAATTGATAGGTACAAGATTCCTACCTATTGCATTAAAATAGGAAAAATTGAACCTCTTTTGCATGGGATGTTCACTCCATATTTTATTTAACTAGTTAAAGAATCCTTAGTAGCACCTTCCACTCTTTGATGATGCTCAGCTCCCAATCAATAGTGAAAACCATTGAGCAATTTTAGCAAGGCTGGAGAATTTTCCTCCTCTCTTCCATGGGCAGGTTGCTCCATGGGAAGAGGGGACTGACATTTGAAGATGAGTAAGGGAGAGGTGCAATCTTGGAGTGAAAACTCAGGCAGAGTGTAGGGTGAACAAAGTGAATAAGGCTTTTTGCACCCTCTCGCCTTTAGCCTTTACAGCTGTCACATGTAATCTGCACGTCCAGGTTGCCTGGATGCCAGGGACCGAGAGGTGTGGGTGCGAGGCATGTGTACCTGTGATCATGGGCACAGGCATGTGCATGTGCGTGTGTGAGGGCACCTGGGTCAAGAGGCGAAGGATATAATGATGGCGTCACTCTGAGGCGAGACAGTGAGACTGAGAGGGAGAATGCCAGAGAGACCACCAAGATTGCTGTCATCCTGCTGGCTGGTCTGTCCCCTGACTTAGCATTAAAGGCCTGTAAGATCCACGAAGACGCCAAGATTCTTGTAGGGTAAGTAAAGTTTCAGGCTTTTCTGCCTTCCCACAATTAGGATAGATGATGGATCCTTGCGGTCCTGAATGCATGCCTGATGGCGGGCACCTGGAGTAGGGTATGGGTATATGTAGATAGGATTCACCTGGGCTAAGACTGGGCTTATAAGGGCGGTGTCACGAAGATGCCAGCAGAGAGCAGAACCACGAGAGAAGCAGAGAGAATGCCAGGGAACGCCGGAGAGCTGAGAAAGAGTGAAGACTTGCTGGGGGCTGGGAGGCCTGCCAGCCTTCTGGCCCCCTAGTACTCTTGCCTGCTGTGTACCTGGTAAACCCCAATAAAAGCCTGCAGATGTCACTGAGGGCTCCAGGACTCTCTCCTTTACCCCATCTGCTTGGATCATAGAAAAAACCTGCCCTGTGTCCTCCTGCCCTTACAATTCTCTTTTCATCTGCAAGAACCAATGGTGAACCTGCCTGGCCTGGGGTGCAGCACAACACAGAGCTGACTGGCCCACAGAGGCCTCAGTCTTTGGTAAGCCAATTGGGCAAAGGAATGACTATAGACACTAGGATAAGAATTGAGATTGGTTGTTTGGAGCAACCGATTCCCTTCCCTGAAGCTTGCCAGGACTCAGGTTTTTTGTTGCTAGCAGACTTTAGATTAGGGAGTTTCATTGCAAATTCTGTTTTGCTAATTTGGGCAGAGAAAGGTATTGTCCCATTTGAATTCAAGATGCTGAAATTTGGTGCAAGCATATTTTGAGCTCAGCATATCAAATGCTGTGCTACTAACTTGGTTTTAACTTTTGTTTCCTACACATAGAAGAAAAAAAAGATTGCAAATGTCGTTTGCTGTAATGATTATCTCCAGTGAGGAATTCTGTCTGTGGTTATTTCCTTCCCAGGTTAACTCACTGGAGCCTGTGTATTTGATCACCAAAATGGCCTCCTCTTTTTTTACCGTGTTAATAACCTCATTGAATAGAAATAGAAATAGAAATAGAAAAGCTTTGATTTCTTTCTAGGCTAGGTTATTATTTTTCTGGCACTGAGAAGTGTTGGTTTAAGATTCTGCCACATTAAAGACATGGCAGATTCCATCTTGGAAATCTCCAAGCTTGGGACTGCTCAAAACGATGGGACCAGAATAAATACTCTTGGCCCACCTGTGGGAAGCAGTTTGTTTAGATCAGAAAGAACCAAAGAGGTGGGCTGATGTGGAAACTCTAAACCTGTCCCATGTGTTTTAGGCACTTCTGAAAAAACAAACAGCTCCATATTTGCAATTACAAGGTCAAAGAGTCACACATTGGCCCCAGTGCCAATTTAGCTGAGTCCTCAAGCAGTCAGCACTGTTAAGAGTATGTGCACACTTAATCTCTGCACCTGGAAAAAATAAAAATACAACAAGGAAGCAAGCACAGTGCATTTGAAGCCAGATTGGGCTGTAGTGACAGTGTTCAAATTCAGAGCTCCTGAGCTGTGTGTACACTCCAGATTTGGAGGAATATTTGGAAAGCGTGCATCTTGATGGGCCCATCTCCTTAATCCCTATCTCAGGGGCAAGATGAGTGCTGTGCAAAGCCCAGGATGGACCTGGCTTCCTGGAACTCTATTCCCACGAAAAGGGTCCCATTGACCACATCATCTTTCTATTTCTCTTAAGCCAGCTGGTTTATCTCCTGAAATTCAATCTGCTCCCCCTCTTTTTTCCCCCAGATATGTCAGTGCACAAAAGAGGCTCGTGAAAAGAAACAGCTGCACGATACCAGCAGGAGCTGCTGCAGCTACAGATTTGAGGTATGCACCTGCGTGGCGTTGGGTGACGGGAGCTTTGTCAGGGAAGAGGGTATCATGGACCATAGGGACTCTACAGCCAGAGGGGTGGATGCTCTGGGGGTGGCAAATTGGATACCCCACTGCTCACCTGGAGGTCACGGGATCACACCTGACTTGAATTAGTCAAAAGGATTCCAGGATGAGGGTTAGTTGGTTGTTTATGAATGAAATGATTAGCTAGTTGCAACAGTCCTAATAAACAGATTGTCCATATCAATGGCATCTATTCAGTGAGCCCCGAGTGGACAGTTTCATTTTGGTAACCCTCAGGCAAGAGAGGCAGGACTGACGAGACATGGGATCCTGTCAAGAGTCTGTCCTGTGTCAGTGAGTTGGCTAGGAGCTACTAGAGGATTTTGACCTGAGGATGACATGATCTCACCCAGACTGCTGTGTTGGGGATAGACTGTAATTGAGTAAGAAATTGTGGTTGCTGGAGTAGGAGGGTATTCCTGAAAGCAGGGAGAAGTTATGGGGTATATTTTGAAGGTTTAAGTGAAGAGTCAGTGACAGAAAGGGAGTAGAGAGAGGATGACTCTGAGGGTTTGACTTGCAAAAACAGGAGGGCTGAGTTTCCAGCTACTGATGTGAGAAAAACAAATTTTGGGGGTGGGAGAGAGTCAGGATAGCAGTATCAGTTGTGTCTATTAGACATCCAAGTGAAGAGAGTGAGTAGACATTTGGACCTGACCCAGAAGCTCAGAGAGAAGGTCTAGCTAGAGATAACAAGCTGGGAGTCCTCAGCAGGTGACTGAAATAACAGGGACTGAATGAGATTGCTGGGGAGTGGAGCAAGCAGAGAAGAGACCCAGGCGTGAGCCCTGGGTCCTCCAGTATGAGCAGGTTGGGGAGATCAGAGGTGCACCTGGAGGAGATGAGAAGGAATGTCAAGAAGTAGGAGGAAATCTGGAAGCGCGTGGTGGTCTGGAAACCGAGGAGCAGAGTATCCTAAGGGGGAGGAAGCGAGCAGCCATGTCCAAGGATGGAAACTGACCCCTGAATTTAGCTGCATGGATGTCACTGGTGACACTGACAAGAGCAATTCTGGCAGCATGATGGGGGTCTCATCTGATTGGGGTGAGTGCAAGCGAAAGGATTTGGCAAAGGAGAACTGGCAACTCATACAAGGAGTTTTCTAGAAATAGGAAAGCAGAGAAATGGGGTGGCATTAGAGGGAAAGTAGAGTGAGGAGGGGTGTGTGTGTGCGCGTGTGCACACTCACATGTGCATGTGTGCATGATGGGGAAACTATCAGGCCAATGGGAATAAACCAGTGGTGAAGGGAGCTTTTGATAAGAGAGGTGAGAGAGGGGTGGGTTGTTGGAACTATGTTCTTGAGTGGGATCCAGGGTTTAAATGGGGAGGCTGGCCTTCTCTGGGGGCAAGAGTGGCCCCTCCACAGTAAGGGTGGGGCAGGATAGAGTTTATGGGAGCTGAGGCTGGTGGGTGGGTAGAGGCAGAGGCGGGAGACTAGAGCAGTTGTTTTCTGAATGCTTCTGTTTTCTCAGCGAGGCAGGAAGCAAGGTCAGCAGCTGAGAGTGGGGATGGGAGAGCTGGTGCTGGAGACAGACAGAGGGTGCTGGAGGGGAGAGGATGATGATCTAGGATTGGGGCAGGGTGAGAGGAAGAGGGAATGAAGTGTGATGTCCAGGAGTCATAAGGATCTACAGCTCAGATGAAGTTATGGAAATGAATTTCATGGCGACTAATGGGTTCTATGTTTTTCGCTGGCCATGTTCGGCTGTGGTGCAGTGGAGAGCAGGTGAAGCGTTGGATTTCTGGGGTTTCTAAAGGAATTCTACAAAGCAGGAGAGGGACCTTCAAAGATATCTCTTCTTTTTTCATTAATATACATACTGGTATGGGCCTATCAATCAAACTACCTAACAAAATATTGTTAGTGGGTCATTACCCACAGTTTGAAAATCACTGATCTAAATATGGATTTTTTATGTTTTCTTACTACTTGACTTTTTTTTTTTTTAACTTTTTTTTTATTTTTATTTTTTTTTTTATAGAGGCATGCTTTATTTATTTGTTTGCTGGTTTCTTTGTTTGTTTTGTTTTATACATGCACTGGGTATAGTCAGAAGCGCGGGAGGGCGAGAGAATTCACCAGAGCCAGAGCGGGGAGCAGAGCAGGCAGAAGGACCGAAGTACACTGCTGAGGGGAGCAGCGGGCGGCAGGAGAGGTCTGCGCGCCATGTGGGACCCTCCTCTGGTGGCCGGGGAGCAGCCGGGGATCGAACCGGCGCCGCAGAGGCCGCGCGCAGCTTCGCAACCCAGCGCTCAACCGCTGCGCCACCGGGGAGGCCCACTACTTGACTTCTTAATATAGACTTAGCCCTCAGTGAGGATTTATCTGAAAACCCACCACATAATTATTGAGTGCCCCTGAGGGACCTAGCACAGTTTTTAGTGCCATTAGGGGAGACAGAAGAGGGAGAAGACATAGTATGAGTCAGCTGTGGGTTGGTAGACTCATCAACTGCTTCTCCATCATTAAACCCCTTGGGTCAGCTTTCGATACTTGAAAATGATGCCACATTGTTTTGTTACTTCCCAAATAGTCGACTGGATGCCAGGGGGCCTGACACCCAAGATGTCCACCTTCACATCAATCTGAGAACCTCTGTTCTCTACATGTGATCACATCACCTGACACTAAGATTGTCACCTCCTTTAACATGAACAGTAAACTCTATTAATGCATCCTAGGATAGTATCCACTTTTTATGCAACCTTGGCAAATTGTTAGTTCATGCTGAATTTATGGCTTGAGACTTTAAAATGTCTTAGTTTTCATCCTTTTAAAAATTATATATTTAATTATTTTGGGGAGGGGGGAGTATGGAGTAAATGAAAAGCCCTTTCTATAGGAGTTTGGGGACTGTATGTTTTGGAACTGTAGATACATACTGAGTGGGGATCAAGTTAGGGCATTGGTTCCCTCAAATTTTGGTTCAACTCAGAACACACTGGAAACTGTGGGCAAGAGTCTAATGCAAAAAGAAAACACTTTGTTTCTTCATCTTTTTGTTCTGTTTTTGGTCTTTGATTTAAAGGGAAAATCAGTGAGAACAAAGGTGATGCGTTTTACCCCATCTTCTAACTACATTTTAATTTGGTATAAAAGTTCATTTCTCTTGGTGACATTCCATGTTTACAGGGCCAGACGTGGCATTTGCATTTTGTTAATGGCCGGTTGCTTTGTGCTAACGTACTTGCCACGATGCAGTGGGGCTTGCCTTTCCAGGCAACAGTTAAACCAGCAGGAGACCACTTGTGTGCAATTTGTTGGAATGAAATCTACATTTTGGGATTAGATTACTTAGGAGTGTCATTTTGCATTGAGTCGACTTTGTGGGTGGTCTCCCATAAACCCTGCATGTACAGCAAGTGTCAGCCCTGATTATCTCCAAGCAAGCCTGTAATGACTGCACAGCGTGGTGTTTACAAGAAGAAACCAGCTTCCCTTAACTTTTAATTCAGGGAGTGCAGGGGCATGGATGAACCCTCAACAAAGATGGCAAAGGGTCCATGGTGTAACCATTCTTGAAGGGATGCTCTTAACTTTGTCCTTTCTAGAGTTCAGGATATTAGATGCCAGTGTCATGGGGTGCAGCAGTTAGGACATTTGTTTTTAGTGATGACTAAAGGAACTGTTTTATCTCCAAATATCTAAGGACGGACCGAAGGGCTAGGAAGAGGACTGATCGGTGAGTGAACTGTACGGTTGGCTGACGCATGACTATATGCAGGAAGTAGTCATGTCCTGGGGCCTCCACCATGTCATTCTGATGGAAGAAGTGGTTCTCAATCAAGGGTGATTTGCCCTCCAGGGGATGACTGTCAAAGACTGGAGATGGTTTTGCTGCCATAACCAGGAGGGTGCTCCTGCATCTAATGGGGAAAAGTCAGGGATGTTGCTGACCAGCCTGGGATGAGCAGACTGCTCTCTTGTCCTCCATCGAAGAATGATTGTGCCCAAAGTTTCCATGGTGCTGAGGCTGAGGGAGCCTGCTTCAGGGGACTGGGCTGTGAGGGTAGTGCATCCTGCCCTCTCCCAATCTTCCTCAACCTGTTCCATCCACTGGTCTTTCCTGCCTCCCTGCTGTGTGGAATCCTCACAGTCCTGGTGCTACAGTATCCCAGAGCCCAGCTGATGGAGTTTGACAGATCTAGGTTAGATCCCAGCCTCATGCCTTCATCTTGGGTAACCTTGGAGGCAAATCACATAATCCCTCTGAGCCTCCTTTACAAAAATCTGAAATACCAGGGGCTGCAGTTCTTGGTGGAAAGGATTAAATTTGGGTAAATTCATCAGTATTTGGTCTGCTAGGGAATAAATACTTCACAACATTTTTATCATTGCACATTGTTGCTTGTAATTACTAAAGTTTAGTTTTCCCACCTTTAAATATTCCAGCAATCTCTTCTTACTGTGCAAAATTTATAAAAAAGATAAATAAGCAGGAGAAAAATGAAAATAACTGCAATGTCTGGTGATAACTACTGCTATTTCTTATTCTTTCTCTGTCTTATGCCATGTATACTATTTAGTGACTTGCTTTTTAGGTTTAATGATGTATTAGGAACATCCCTCCATGCCAATAAATATAGATCTAAATCATCTACATCGTGGTTTTAAAAAGCAGCCTAGTATTTTATTGTATCGATGAACCATGATTTACTCAATCAATCCCTTATATTCTTGGACATGGAGATCGCTACGGTTAGTCTTCAAAGCCCAGAGCCTGGCTTGCTGAGTTGTACAGAGTTCATGGCTGTGTTCTAGAAAGCCGCCCATTCCGTGCTCACTGGCTGTGTCCCTAGGTCATTGCCTCAAGATATGTCCCACTCCTGCTCTGTGAGGGAAGTAGTGAAATTTGTGCTCTTTTTTTTTGTGATACGGCATCATACAGTGGTTCAGTGCTCAGGCCTGGGTTCAGATTCCAGCT